AAAATATTTTAATTAATGTCTTATTGACAGCTCAAACCAAGATATCCGACCGACCGCTGCTCATGGAGTTAATCAATAGGACACTCATGGAGTTTGACGCGCCCTCCGAATCACTGGCAGGCATTCCCTCCAAGAACTTCATTTGGTTCGACTTCGGGAGCCTAAGGCCGGCGCCCACTGACAGGGAAAGCAAACGCCGGTACGAAGACTTCAAGTGGCGGCTCCGGTACGAGCACCGGGATGTCAACGTATTCATGGCCACTCTTAATAAAGAGGACTTTAAGGACCTGTTGAGTAGGGATGAGAATTGGATCCAAATGGGAATGGGATCAGATTCATCAGACATGAAGTCCGTTGATTTGATGAATAAAATAATACAAACACCGCAAGTGTTTCAATACGGAGACTGTCGGCGCCAGAAGTCTAGCAATGAGGTCTACGAGGGGTACCTCACACCAGGGTATAAACAGTACTGGGCTATGTATCCCCGACACTTCATCAAGAGTTATTCCATAGACCTCCGAGTATGCGTTCAGATTAGTTTTTGGGCTTAAAATGAGTATTAATTTATTTTTGTCATAATTTGTGCGTTTAGTTCAAAGCGGAGAAGACTCGGCTCAGGGTATGTGTCGATCGGTTCCCAATCGCCGAGAATAATGAGAAGCACTGCAGAGAGGCTCAAGAGGATGACGGCGAAGTGAAGTTCACGATCACCGACCCCTGTAGGGGCAAGAGTTTTGAGTCCTGTCCCGGCATTCACGTCACTATCGGACTCAGCTCGCAGGCAATCACAGCCGTCAGCGCCGGTAATGATTGTAAAGGTTTGTTGAGTTCATTGACTGGTATTTCATATGAGAGGTTATACTAAATGTGAATTTGTTGGGCAGATGTGAGGTGTCGATCACCCGATCAAATCAAGTGGACGCTCACCCACTCGGGTATATCGTGTAGTGGTGGCCGTACAGTAGTGGCCAACTGGACCTTTCAAATCATATGTTTTGTGTTA